ATATTTTTTTTTTTACACATACACACGCACAGACCTTTGTGCTACATTCCAAACTGGATTAACCCCCCATTAAAGTTTAATGCATGAGCACCTGTAGAGACACATTAGTCCTATACGCTCAAGTAAAATCCCTAATGATGAATTATCTATCCATGACATTATGGTGTTGATGCACTGATAGATCCGGTTTAAAATCCACCCTGTGGCGCAGTGCATGAATTGTGTTAATCACATCGCGGTGCGTTATTTCGCAAAGGAAGGATGTCTGACTCGAGAGGTTGCAGTCGACATCTGCGTTCACCCCTGGCGTTGGTGGCATTTGATTTCACAATGTGGATCATATGAAGCAACCGAGATAACGAATGAATTATTTATCAGTTCGTAATTTCACGTGATAAAATCATCGACATTGCCTGTTTTTGCATTCTGAGATGGATGCCTGCTTTCGCCTTAAAGCAACTTTCTGTGCAAAGAAATTTAAGTCTGGTACACAAGGTTATACATAAATATAATGTTTCCATATGCTTGTATCATACTGGCCATATATTCTGACATCATCGTCTGCCCACAACACATGATCAGCGATTCGTCGGATTTCAAGCTTTCGATGACAATGCAGAGCAGACAACGAATCAACTAATCTGTCCACCTCTTACCTAGTCCGCATTATTTGTTAACTGTGTTCCGGTCTGCTTTTTCATCAAAATAACTGTCAGGTTGCACACTGTCACACTATTTCACTGCTGTCACCCGTGATGGAGATGCAAGCCATATCAGGGTTGACAAACGATACTGTAGCGCTTGGTGCTAATGTGCCTTTAGTGTGTGACTGGCTCGTTGGGAGTAATGGCTTTCAGAGTATAGCACTTCTGTTGTCGCATTATGCGCCGAAGCATCATCAGAAAGGACTGAAGACCATGCTGCTGCAGTGATTAGGGCTGAGTTATGGTTCTGGCTCCAATCGGCTCCATCTGCAACCACGTAAGTGCAGACCACGCGCGCAGGTATATTGGTGGAAGCAATTAGGAGCAATATGGTCTCCGTTTATGTACGTTCATTTATGTCTTAATTGACATTTCAATCTATTTTGCCCTTGTGGGACGGACACAAAATGAAATTACTCCATTTGGTGGTTGTGGTTTATACAGCACGTGTTATTTCGTGTAGCTGCCGGCTTATTTGGACTCAGATATTGCTCTGGTTCCGTTACAATTACCCTCACTGGTTTCCACTTTACACTAATCCAAGATTATGTTCGTTTAAAATGTTGTAATTAATACCGCTTAGTCAATGTTTTGCAGCTAGAGTATGAACATGAATTAATTTGTGAAATAAGTGGGAGTCATACAGACAGCTAAGAATAGGGTGCCGACACAAAATGTAGTTTCTCAGCGTCGGCGTAATTACTGGTTGGAAGATGCTGGATCGAGATTTCTTCGCACTGAATTTCCCTGAGAGTCTCCTGTATGGCAGGGTTTTCCTATTTAGGAGTATTAAGCATGGGATCGATTTGACAACTATCACAATAATAGCATTTAAATTGGAAAGCAGTATTTTTGTTTTAATTCCCTACATTTTTGTTCGTTTTTGAACCGTGTCAAATTTAGCTTGGAAATTTCATTATAAATGTCATTAACTGAGGGTGGAGGGTGGGGGGGTAGTATTTCATCCAGATAAATACATATACGGTATACCGTATTTTCTGCACTATAAGGCGCTTCAGAGTATAAAATATTATATAAAATACTACATCCAAGAAATCTGAATATTGATCCATATGTAAGGCGCATCGGATTATAAGGCGCACCGTCGTCTTTTGAGAAAATTGAATGCTTTTAGGTGCGCCTTATAGTGCGGAAAATACAGTCATACTTATTTCTGACTTGAGTTTGATGATTACTGAAATCAAACTCATTTAAGTGTCTGAGCCACGGATTGGTTGGGGACCCTTGTCTCCAAGTATTACACGAACCCAAATTAAGCCCAACGGATCCTGAGTGAGATTCACACACCTGCTGAGATGCTGGCTACTGTGAGCAGATTTCGTGCTTGAGGCAAAATGAATTTGTTTAGCAAGAAAATACTCCTCAGCGTGAGTTGAACCTCTCGTCAAAATGTATTCATTCTAAGTGCAAGATGCTATTGTCAGGCCTTTAATACATGCAAACCACTTCATTCTGTTTATTTGCGCGCCCGTGTGTTAATTATGGCTTAAATTGGCACTACATCCAGTGTATGTCCTTCAGCTTTGCGGCGCAGTGACGTGTTTACAAGATGTTCTGGGGGTGTTAAGCCGAGCTGTGAATGTGTGATTTGCTGGAAATGGGAAAGAGAGGCCAGACATATGCAATTCCCCAGGCATGTTTATAAAATAAAATTTAAAAAAAAGCATTCCTTCCTTTTTCTTGTCCTGGGACATTAGCACAGATCAACTAATTAGCGGTTAAATGAACAAGACCAATATTGGCCGGCGCTTTAGTGAGGTGTGGTTTCAGCACGCTTTGTTTTTACTCTACAGAGATTTTCGTGTGGACGGCGTTACACTGTGAGAGAAGTGAAATCGTTCACCAGTCTCCATGTCTCGCTGTCCTCGTCTGCTCTCTGGCTGTCTCGCTGCCCTTTATGGCAAGAGATGGATGAGCCACACTTTGGCTATTCCTACATCGTATTTCTTTTCTGACAAGGCTTATTTGTATTGATATTGATTATTGGGGTTTTTATTTTTGTACAGAAGCTAAAATATGTTCACACTTTTTGTTCTGGAGTAAATATGAGGTTCAACTGTAGAGGACACAACTTGTCTGTTTCAGGGAAAATATCACATCATGAAAAACGTATGTCTACATTTGTAATTAAAAAAAAAAAATGTGCGTTAACGGGTTGTCTGCATTTCGGCGCGTATGAGGTGAGGCGAGCTGGCCACTGCCGCATTTCCCATCTCGCCATGTATATGAACAAGAAATATACAGCAATTTTAATAATTAAAATCATTGATCCAAATAGAAACTCAATAGAAAACACTGACCTGAGAACTAAAATGAAACAGAATAAAAAAAAATAAATTGAATGATTATTATTATTTTTAATTCTTCACATGCAGAGATGAGGCTCTGCCTCCCCTGCTATCCCTTGTGTTTCAGACAGCTAATTCTGGAAGCTAATGCATTATTCTACAGTTTAATCATTGTCAGGAGACATCGTGTTAGGCAAGGACTACGTTTCCTGTTGGATGGTGAGTCGTTATTTCTGTAGCCTTTTTAACCTGCAGGAAGTCGTATTACCTCGCCACGATATGACCGGACAGTCACATTGAAATCACTCCGCGGTGCTCCGAGCTGTGACAGGAGAAGAGCATTGCCCTAGTTTGAGTCAGGCGTAATTATGTAATGCTTGAGTACCTGCAGGACCGGCGGCAGGACAACTTGTGGCTGTGGATGTGAGAGAATAATACTGTGTGGATACAATAATAAAGTCACAACTGTCTGGGAATAAAGTTGTCATGTTTCAATGAAAGCTGACTTTTATCGCGGGGGATCCAAATAGACTAGTTTGACATTATAAGTAAGTCAGAATTGTGCAAGAAAAGAAAATATACAAAACCATAGTCTGATTTACAAGATAAAACTTTTATGATAAATCTTTATCGGATTTTAAAATACTCATTTGGACTTTCAATTTACCTTCAATTTATACAACAGTCAAGTTTTAAGGAAAAAAAGGTGATGATTTGTTTTCCCATAATTTATGTTTTACCTGTTTATTTCTCTTTTCTAATCAAGGGAAGCATGCAAGTGAGAATTTCCTTGTTTTGCTTTTTGAATCTTTTTTTTTCACTGTGCACATGATAATAAACTAAAATATTGTATATACAGTAATATGACGATTAAGAGAATCAAACCTATGTCATGCAAGTTTTCCATTCATTCATTCATTTTCCAAACCGCTTCATCCTGCAAGTTTTCCAATTTCTCTTAAAAACATCCAAGCAGGCAAATCTTTTAAGCCACCATCCGTCACTCTCCTCAACGCTTCACCCACCGTCTTCCCCTCGCTCCCTCTTTCCACTCCTCTTATGACTTTTATCATCCAGGCGCCATTTTAAAGAAAGGCTCAGGTGCACTCCCCTTGCAGAAGGAACCCGAGCCTCCTCTGTCGCTTACATAACACACTTTGAGACATCGTCGCGCAGTACGCGTGATTTAGTCGACGCTTCATTATCAAGAACATGCAGTATGTCATCGGACATAAATGCTAACGCCGCACCTTTTGTCCCTCCATTTCCCTCTACAGAGAGTAAAGCTCCATACTACTTTGCAGGAGAAAAATCGTCTCAACCTCGAGCTGATTGGCCATCACCTGAAGGCCTCCAAATATGACCAGGTGATGAAAATACATCCACACACACATGTAATATGTAAAACAGGGGGTTACCACTTCTTGGGTACTGATTTATCCAAGAGGCTACCCCCTTTGACACACATTTTCGACAAAACTGATTGACTCAAATAGCCTTAATTTTATGTTATTTTGAACCCTTTTCCTGTAACATGACAACATGATTAGCTGTCCACTGTAGTAACCATCGTGTCAGGGTTTGAATGATGGTATGTAGAGGACCCCCATAAAGGGTGGACTGAACACAATGTAATAGCAAAAAACAAAACACCCACCCACCCACAAAAAAAAAAACACAACAAAAAACAAAAAAAACAAAAAAAGAAAACACTTGCAGAGTACACCGGAGAAACTAAGTCAAACAAAGTCATGAAAACCATATGAAACCAAATTTAAAAAAAAAAAAAAACAACCAAAAATAAAACCTATGACAGCAACAAACAAACACATGATAGGAGCAAACACATGACATGAGCATACAGAGACACACAATGATCTGAGAAGACTGACCGAACCCCGGGAACTAAATACAAGCGAAGTGACGAGATAACAAGAAACACCTGGACAAGACACAAAGGGTCGAGGGTGCTGATTGGTTAATCACAAGGGACCCTCACGACCAGAACAGGTGAAGACAAAAAGGGCACTTGAGGGAACAAAACCAAATGTAATCTTAATGAAAACATAACACACTAACCCTGAAAGGGTTAATGATGATTTATATTCATATGAAGTGACCACCTGTGATGGTCTGCGATAAGCTACCCTGGTGTGTTCCACAAAGGGGGCGCACTTGACATCCATCCAAGGGCTTTTGGTTTGCGTGTCTGTGCGGCAAAAAGGTTCCAACTGTGAGCATTGTGCCAACCTGGCAGGTTGCATGAAATGAAACGGGGAGTACGAGCAATCCCTTGGCGAAAAGCTTAGTTGGCAAATTTAGCATATTAGCAATAAGAGGAAACTTTATTTCTATCTGGAAAAAAAAGGACTACATCATGTGTGAATTTAAGTTTGGTTGGTTCTGTTGCTCACGGAAAATAGCAGCGCCTACCGAAGTATGGAAACGCTACCTGTGATGAATTCAGATGAATCCCCGAGCATATATTTATTGGTAAGGCCTGCAAATCGGTACGAAAGATTTGTGTGGGTAGCGTGTCCAATTAGTGAAACAGCTCAAATAATTACGACTGTTTTATTATGCTCATTGAAAGAATTTTCCGTAATTATTATGAGATAAGGTTGAAGAGTCGACGAGCAAATTCTCCCCGCAAGTTTTACGCAGTACACGGCGTTATCTTTTGTGGGCTCGTGCACTCGTTTAATTAATGAGATGATTGGCACAGAGCGTCGGAACGGATCCTACGAGGCCGCATTTGTAGAAAACCTCCTCGCCGGAGGCATCTGAGTGACGAAGGGAGGCGGACTTAAAGCTGGCGTCAGCAGCGAGCTCTCGTATGCGTGCTGATGAACTCCTGCTCCGACTGTGAAGCCCCAATCAACCCTGCAGTCAAAAGTTAAAGCTGCCTCCCTTAATAATTGGAACAAGTGGGTCTTTGTCGGGGACGGACGCGCTATTCGTCACTTGCGAGTTCGCGTTCACTCAGTAAAACACCAGAGAGGCTAATTATGCAACAGGAAATAGAAAAGATTAAATTTAAATGAGTTCAACTTTATTATTTTGGTATCGGGCCCTAACCGTAAGTGGATTAAAAAAAAAAAATGTCTTCACCTTTTTACTTTCTAGCACATCAGGTTTTTGAGATGCTTTCATTTTGACCGATAAAAGTTTACACGGATTTTACCGTCCATTATTATTTTAAATGAGTTTGGTATTTCATAAGCCGCTTTTATTATTTTTTTCTGTCAAGGATAGATGTTTTATTTTTATTATTAGTAGTCTTTGATTCACAGATTGCTATTTTTATTTTTATTTATTTATTTAAAAAAAAATTTTTGTTTGCACATTTCCCCTGCATGGTGGTTCCGTCATCATTTTTCATGACTTATGTCAACGTTGTACCTGTAGGTCCAATCCGACTTTGCTCGGCTGAAAGAGACGCTTTCTGTGGTGAGCCGAGAGAGAGACGCGGCCCAACAGCAGCGCAACCAACTTGAGGGTGAAGTCGAGAACCTGGAAGAGGTTCTAAAGGTGAGATGTTTTTCTGATTAGGTCACAAAATCTTGGGCTGTGTTGAGATTACGTACAGAGACGCACAGAGACGTCTCAGTCAAGATTGTGAATTACGCCACATTGAAAGGAAATGAGAGGAGCCGCTTTGATTCACAGCAACTTGAATCGACTGTAATCACTCTCACAGTTGCGCAGCCTGCCCGCCCACAGATCCGACGGTCTGCGATCATCCACAAAATTACCAACACTTGTCAAACCAGCAGTGCAAAAAAAAAAAGTGCCGAAAACGTAGCAAATATTTGTATTGACATGCCACAGTGAGAACCGTCTTCATTACAAATCCTTGCCTTCCCGCGACACTTTTCGATCTTGTGTTACCAGGATATTATAAAAAGCAATGTGTCCATG